AAAAAAAAGAGAGAGATTTCTAGATCAAGATGCGTGCGATGGATTCAAGTGCGTTACTAGTCTAGACCTGAATATTGGATACTATCACATCTATCTGTCACCTCACTCGAACAACCTCTGTACATCGTACTCGCGCCGTGGGGAAAGTACAGAGTAAACACGTGAAGGCGCTCTCGCCCAAATAGGGCCTAATGTATTAGTCCGCACATGCTTCCAAGTAGTACGATGGAACACTAAATGCAGACAGACCAGAATTATGTCCGTAAAGCATACAATTGAATGACGTGATCTACTCATCCTAACTAACGGCGATTCTAGCCAGTTCACGTTGAAGTTGTATGAAGTTCTCGATAGGCTTCGAGAAGCCTGACTGTCAAGATCAAGGCTACCAAGTCCTTCTTCGCAAGGAGGAGACACTTGAGTACACTAGCTACTGGATCTACTCGACGCAGGAAGATCAACCTATAACCAAGAAATAGACGCGATCCAAGAATATCTGACTCCTCCTACCAACAGAAGAACTCCGTAGATTCGATTGGACTAGTGAACTACTATCGAGACATGTGGATTAGACGATCAATGTATTGGCCCAACTCGCTTCGTTGACTTCACAAAAAAAGAAGTAGGAAATGGGAAAGCGAACACGACAAGTGCTTTAGCCAGATGAAGAGATCTATCAGCAAAGAAACTTTGTCGCTACACTGACTTCAAGGATACATTCTGTTATCCACACGGATGCGGTGATACTCAACTAGGTGCGGTAATTTCCAGAAGGGAAAACCCATCGCTATTCTACAGCAGGAAGACTCAAACCTGCTCAGAACACGTTTACACAGTTACCGAGTAGGAACTTCTCAGTATCGTAGAAACCTGAAAGAGTTCCGTAACATTACTCTAGGGACGCAGAAGATGCGTTGTACACACGGACCACAAGATCTTACATGAAGAACTTCAATACGATCGCTGTAATGCGAGATGGGGCCTTATTCTGGAAGAATATGGCCCTTGAACTTCGTACATCAAGGTGCGAACAGAACATCGTCGCTGATGCTGTTGTCGAGACTTAAATCTCCAACAACGACGGTTCTTCAGAAACAGATTGACAGCCAGCGAGACTCGCTGGACTCATGGTGCAGACGCAAGAGGAATTTCCCTAGCGAGTTCCTCTACTCGTTCCCCTGAGATTCGGAGCATCGTCAGAAAACAGAGACAACGAAATCAAGAAGCTCCTCAGGGAACAGCAAAACGACTACATCACAAACAATCTTGTCCCGAGGGGATAAGTCCTACGATCTAAGTAGTTAAGGACGAGAAAAATCGTAACCGTAAAACTCTAGCAGAAAAGCTAGTTGAATTTGGTATCATAGGTGTGCTGACTGCATCCCCTAGGGCGGCGCTCCGCACACGACATAACCATCGGCGACAACACTAACCACCTGGAAAGGGTGCTGCCAGGACTTGTGCAGCGCTGTATGTCACGTTTGCCAAGCTGCCAGATAACAAACCCAAGACCGCGTAAGCTGGGATTGATGCCTCAAAAGACTTGTTCTTGAGGAGATCCTTGGAAAGACTATGTAGTTCGGACCTGATGCAGTTACTACGTCGGGGATCCAAGAAAGAGAATCCTGTCCACACTTACATTGCTCTGACAATGATTGATTCCCGTAACCGGATGGTTCGAGATTGCAGAGATCTGCTCAACGGCAGCAGACGAAGTAGCCAATCGTCCTTAGATACAAACGTGGCTCACTCGGGTATCCATGGCCTTGTTGAGGTCATCAATGGATAGAGGACGCGAGTTCGCAGCCATGAGGTCGAAAAGACACTCCTGGGATGAATATGGACTTCATCGCAAGTTCATCACCACGCGTACCCTCAAGCCAACTCTTATGGTCGAGCGTGCTCATCAAACCATACGAACTTGATCTCTGTTCAAAACATCAAGTGCCAAGACGACCTCGTGAATGGATCCTGGGATGGAGTCCTCACGGCGATTCGCTTTGCAATGAATGCCACGATTCATACCACCTTCGCAACGCCCGCACAGCTAGTGTTCAAGTGACGCGATTCACAACGGTCCGTTCGAAGCCAACTGGAAGTACATTAAGGAACGTCGCCAACGACTAATCCAACAAAACAACGATAGGGAAAAGCGCGACGCGTGTCCCTCATCAACATACAATGTCGAACATACTGTGATGATTCAAACAGAATCAGCACCGCAAGTACGGTCAGCCAAGTACAAAGGTACATTACAGTATAACCGAGTCAATGACATGGCATGTACGGCTCCAACATGCTACCGCCAACGGCGGCACAGTCTACCAGACTTGGAAACATATAAGGTATATACACCCTACAAGCCTGATCCCCTTGTAGGATTGCCATCGTGCGACGCACATGTCTACATCCATCTCATGGAGAGTGCCCAGCACTTTAAAATCATATTTTCTCCTTTCCAACTGCTGTCGCGCCTTCTGATGACCCTTGTCAGGGGGCGAAAATGCACTACGCTAAAAGCTAGTGTAAAGATCTTTCGAGTGTTTTGAGTTTGAGAGAAATGAAAGTTATGGAGAGATTAGAAATCTATTAAAACTAATCAACGAGAGAGATCATCATAAGGATCGTAGATCTGGCTTCCCGCGGGAGACTATAAAGTGTGATAGAGTAGGTTGTGTAGTAATCTACTTCTCTCCAGATCCCAAACGGAACGCGTGGAAGGTTTGTCTAGCCTGGATCTAGTAGCGTGGAATGCTCCCGCTGGCTAAATTCTAGAGCGATGTTTCATCATCAACCTAGTATGACTAGCGCGGTCATTGAGAACCCTGTCTCAAATGACTATTCACGAGAGACTCGGTCATGAGTCGAACTCAAACCCTATCTAGGATCGAGTCGCGAATAAGGCTAAGAGCCGTGTATTGCAGCAGTGTCCGTACCCCCAGTTGCAGAACAGACGTCACAAGTGCAGCTCTTGTGCAAGGTTCTGTCACGCCATTGGTCCTTGCTCTCAGCCACGCGATGACAATGGAAACCTCATCTGTTATGTCTGCATTAATATCAGCGAAGGTGAAGATGAGGAAGAGGAGGAACAACGCAAGTTGTCGCCTGACATGTTGGAGAGTGAAAAGGAGGATGAGGACGTCGAGGAAGAAGACGAAGACTTGACCCAGATGGTTGCTTCCCGTGTTAGTAAAGTCTCTCAGTTGTTGAACGGTCCTGCAACCAAGGAAAGGCAGAAGCGTGGCAAGAATTTTACTCCAGAGGAAGACGAGTTGCTCTCCAAAGCCTGGGTTTCCACCACCATGGATTCGCGCAATGGGAGTGACCAGAGACAGTCCGACTTCAACAAGAAACTGTACTCCAACTTTCAAGACTTGGTCGAGGATGTCAATGGAGATGAGAGTCCTCCTTGTCCTCCCTTGCCCATGGACCGGAAGCAAAAGAGTGTGGTTGCTCGCTTCGCAACAATCAAGCATGGCGTCAACAAGTTCATTGGAGTTGTCAAGATGAATCCAATCAGATCCGGAGAGACCCCAGAACAACACTTGGAGCGTTGTTGTGCCATCTACCAAGAGACTTATGGTTCCAAGTTTCTTTTTCTTGATTGCTACCACGTTCTCGAAGAATGTCCCAAGTTCTCGGCTGCTGAAGAAACCGGTAAGACCAAAGCAAATGGTAAGAAGGCGAAGAAGCACAAGCGTTCCCAAGGAAAGAGACAGAAGGCTTTGGATGACCGCATCCAGAGGATGATTGACAATCAAGGCCTTGGAAACAACAAGGCAGAATCCAGGGCCGTACAGGAGGCCGGGTCAGTCAGTGAAGCGATTGGACAAATCTTAACTCACCTTGTTGATCAAGTGGCTGTTTCGCAATGGGGTACCCAAGACAAAGAAGAGTACTTTCGCAATGATGCCTTGGAAAAGAAACTCTTGCAGCAGCGACGTATTCTCAAGTTGAAGAAGGAAATCGAAGAAATGCAGAAAGACAACCAGGTATCCAAGAGCAAGAGTTCTTCCAGCAGTGATGAAGAATAGTTCGTTGTTTGGCAACCAAGACCACCCTTCCTTCATTGGACGTAGACAACGGTAGTAGAGGAAAGCGCAATGGCCATTGTGCGATGGTACAAGTTCCAGGACGAAACAGCAATACAGTAGTAGTAATAACGATTTATAGTACTGGTTTAAAGGAAACTGCGTGTGCATAGTGAGCCAGTCAGTCGCTGCCAGTCAGTGAGTGTGTGTCAATCTTGCAGGATTTGACGCCTGTCATCCAACACGGTACCAAGCTCCGTAGAAATCGACAGAGATACCAGATCCAGTTCCGGCAACCGTAAGACACAATCAAAAGCTCAAGACAATGAGGCCTCGCTCTTCTTTTTGATGTAGTTGCCGGCAATGTGATTGATAATTGCCTTCTGCAAACGAACATGTTGGACATCACTGTTGAGGTCTCCCCATCTCTCTGCTGCTTTGCGAACTTGATAGGCCATGTCCTCTCGCCTTGGAGTGAAACCTGAGGCGCCATCAACAAATGACTGCAAATCTGTCTCCCTCTCCTCCACACTTTGGACTTCGCTCTCCACTACATGGTACATGTCGGCATCCTGTTGGAGGTTGTATTACAGACACCTCAATACAAATTAGTCGTTTATCCCAATCTAGTTATAGGGGATATCTATATCTATTCTCTAGTTACATACATGGGGAGTTTAACTGATCTATATGGTCACCCCCTTCACTATATCCTTTGAAGTTGAATCAATCCCAGAAATACATGGAGAAAGATCACTTCTTGGAAATAGCTTAACAGTAAAACAGTATTTTACCTTTACTAAGCTAGAGTGTTACTAGAAAACAACACTATTTCCAAGAAGATCTACCTCTCGAAGTTCATCTCGAATTCGAGATATCGACCATGGTGATATCGACATCCTATTACATGATATCAAGTCTATGGCTATAAGGTAACCCGTGCAACAGAAGGTTCAGGCAAAAAGGGCTCTAGCCTCACTGAGAGAGCTATCCCAACAGCCTAGCAGGAAAAAGGCAACATCACAAAATTGTGCCTACTACTACGCCGGAGCAATCGGTGCACCAAAAGACGACCGAATCGTTGCAATCGGTGCATACCACGTGAAAGAGCTACACTAACTCCACCACTCTTATGCTTGAACGAAGCGAATCCAACAGGAATAGAGTGAGTTACGGCTGATTGAGTCAACAAGGCTACAGTACGGAGCAGAGGCTACTGTACATAGCCAAGACGAGTATCTGAACCGGTACCAGCTACCGGAGCAGGAACATCCAGCTCACAGGAGTGAGTGAGCTCCGGAGCATCATCACGACCAAGCTCACAGGAGTGAGCCGATTTGCAAGGAAGCACGCTCACAGGAGTGAGCAAACACCAAGACCTTTGTGCTGCGGAACACAGCCATCGTATGACTGGAGATACAATATCCCAGTGCTAATACGAAAATCAACTACAAGGAGACTCAGTGCACGACGCAGTGCAGGAGCGGCAGCCAAGCTATCTAGCTAGCTACCACGACGAGTCAAGCAAGAAAGGACGCTACTGTACGGAGCGCAGCAAGGCTACCGCGCAGACGAACCGTGCAAGCCAACACGAGCACAACACCAAGAGGTGTTACCACAGAAGAGGAACGAGATAACAAATTCCAACAGGAATACCAAAGAGGTACTTCCGTGGGAGTTCCTATCCTCAACAAGAGAGCCATCGAGTTGGCTACTAGAAGAGAGGTGCGACGGAACAGAAAATTCCAACGCACACTAACAAGACGAATTACCAGGCCGATCACTCGGCAACCACAGGTCCTACAAGAGGACTGTCATACACAGAAGTGGGCTACTATACAGTCACTGACAGGCCCTCAAGAGTGCAAGCACTCGAATCGACCTCAGAGCGAGTTGCATCCATCGGCAACAGGCTGGATCAGCGCGAATTTGCGAATTTCGCAAAATCCACCAGCCAAGAACAAGACCGACAAGACGAATGCTCCTCAAACACGACGAGTGCTACCGGTCCCAACGATCTTGAACAAGACGGTGAGACCTACTACTAGTCAATCGCTTCCAATAGCGGTGACAGTGCCATTGCAACCGTCGGAAACAGCGGCAGCAACAGGAGTGTCGGCAGCAGAAGTGCCAACAACACAGTGAATTTGCGAGAAGAACAAGAAGGAGCCAACCACTGGCTGCTACCGCTACGGCAACAAGCAAACGACGACCGCTAGCACAACACGAACAACAACGACAGTAGTATCAACAGCGTCATCGCTCGCGTTGATACCGATAGCAGCAACAGTGTCGGCAACTGCTGTCGGCAGAAGAAGACTTTGCTTTTTGTGAGGAAACTTGCCTGCTGTCAACACTGCACGGAACGGAAAAGAACAAGCCCAAACAGTTCAGCGAGCAGCCACTGAACGTCACAACGAGAAAAGTATCTTTGGCAGGAGTGTACGGAGCCAGCTCTCCGTACGTCTGCAACAAAGAGGATTTTCCGTGGAAGATCCTAGCAAGCAGCCTTGCCACCGGTACAGGAGCTACCAGAGCATGTCCTGCACCAGATAGCTAGCTAGCTAGCTACTGGTACGGAGCGAAGCACATCCAGTGCAAGCCACTGGAGCAGTGTAAGCAGAACAAAGCTATAGGAAGCACAGGAGTGCTTCCGCCAGCATTGAATAATTTCTTTGGAGTGTGTATTGAGTTTACACTCAGCACCTCCTACCCCTTTCATGGAGAGTGTATTATGGCATCCCAGCCACAGCACCTCCTACTACCTTTTATGGAAAGTGTATTGTGCAACTGAAACACAGCACTTCCTCCACTGATTACAGGCAAACCTGAGGCAACACCAGCCTCTAGGTAGGCAACAACAGATACCATTACAAGACTATGCCCTTGCTATTTGATCACAGCAAGTGCACAGGAGTGTGAGGGTACCCAAATCCAAAACCTACAATCCTACAAACAAAATCATTATCACATCCGCCCGCCTTTATAGGCAATGCCGCAACCATCAACGGCACCAATGGCCACAACTACACGGCCAACAACCATTGATGGCAACAACAGCCAACAACGGTATCTACCACTACCAAACCGATTACAATGAATCGACCAAACCAAATTCGAATTGCATCTACAATAACGGCAACTGCAACAACAGCAGAACGACAGGGAACGTTGAACCGAGTAGCTAGCTACAAGCAACTCAAGAGTTCACAAGACAAGGAACCAAGCCACAGGATGGCTGGAGCATTCAGAGTTTGACCTACAAGCGGGAACCTGATCAAAAGAAACAACAAGAGGGTGCACACCTCAGCTCCACTGCAACTACTGTACAGAGATTGCAAACAACCTTAGTCTCACACCAACAACAGAAGTACACCAGTACAACAAATCAAGCCAACCATAGATACAACTACGGACAACTACAAGTCCTGCCACAGCCAACTCACAGGAGTGTAAGAGCAGTGACAGAACCAACACTTGTCCTGCCACAGCCATCTCACAGGAGTGTAAGAGCAGTGACATCACCAACCAAAGGATCTACCGACTACATCACCATCGAACCATCATCGACCGTGACACGTCCAGGTCCAGTGGAGCCCATCAAGTTGGAGCATCCACAACTACTACCGAATACTTCCTTACAAATTTCCAAACTACCAAGGGCTTCAAGCCCCAACTCAAAGTATCATTGTGGCAAGGAACTTCCTCCTAGTTCCGGCTACTACAACAGTTCTCACAAGTGTCGCTATAGCCTGACTTCCCAGTCTCAGCTACGGCAACACCAAATGACGGTACCAAGTGTACCAAGTGACGGCACCAGTCACCACAAGTGACGACACCAGCAGTCACGAGTCTCACATGAGTATAAACAACCATGACAAGAGGAAACAATAACTCAACCATTTCCTCATTCCATCTTCAGACATCGAGACCATCCAAGAACTGGGTTCAGTCGAACCCAACAAGTCCGTGACTTCCAAGCTACATCATTTCCAGCTTCCATGCACCTTCCAATAGGGCATCACTTCCCACAAGTCTACGACTTCCAGAAGCTTCCACCAGCTTCCATCTACGAAGGGCTTCCAGCCCCATCAAGTGTCAATGCAGCCGAACTTCCCAGTCCGAGCCGCAGGTACACCAGGTGACGGTATCATCCGACACCAGTCTTCCAGGAGTGGCACCACTCCCAGCAGGAGTGCCAGCCACAAAGACTTTTACGATGATGACAATGTCCGTATTGTCTCGTCTCCACCGCTCAGCTTCTCGTTACCAAGCGGGATGCCGAGCAACTACTTCCAAGGTTTGTTTTGGACTCATTGCAAGCCAGTCGGCACGACGACGTGAGACTTGGATTACAAAGCCTTTCCAAGGTAGGAGCCTGCTTACCCAAGCACTGATAGACACTTTGAGTGCTATCGATTCTCAGGAATCCTAGAGGCACCGCCTCAAGCTCCATAGCAACCCCAAGGTGCATCCAATGTCCAAACCAACCAAGCCAGCTTTGGCTACAACAAGTACAAGTCCTGCCACAGCTAGCTCACAGGAGTGTGCCAACAGTGACAGCAGGAGTGGTATTGATAAAGTTGTACCCACCAAAACCAAAGTCTCAAACCTTTTTAAACCTCCCTTTGAATTCTCCGATCGATCTATCCAGATTGACACACCAGATCGACTGACAAGAAACGATCATGCCAGATCGAACGACTCGAAGCGATCGAATCACAAGCAGCGACCACGAGATCGATTCAGTTTGACTCTCGCGATCGACTCAGAAGATCCATCATGAGATTGCAAGTGTGACCACAGAAGCCTATCAAGGCAGAGCAAGGAAGCTGCAAGAAAGGATTCCGAGAGGACCATCGTTGCGCGTAAATTCCAGATTATTGCACGACCAATTGAATATTGGGACCTTGATGATGTCAAGGCCATCACAGCTGGTTGCTTCCTCATGCACAACATGATGGTTGAACGCCGAATGGAAAGGAATCAGACTGAGGATGTGT